AACTTCTCTTGAGAAAAAGAGTGGACAACGTGATTATTTTGATTTTTCAGGTTCTTCAAGAAGCCCACCAGCAGTATCGGTGTATTGATTCTTATTACCACACCCAAGACAACTCTTTGCTTTTAGTTTTTCATAATCCAATGAATGTGCAACGTCTGCACCATGAAGAGTGGCACGTTGCGCTTCACTCCAATGTTGGATTCAGGTAACCGATTTAGACAATTTAGTTAATTATACAGTTAATTGGATTGATTTAGCTTGTTAGCAATTTAGTTACTTAGATTGTAGTCTCTTAATTAGGTGGTTCAACTCAATGAAAACATTGTGTAGTGCCACAGTCTCAATTCAGCCCCTTGAATTGAATATCTCCCTCAAATCACGGCTGTGACAGGTGTGCAGTCTGCATCACTCAAGAAGACAAGCACCATTACTCTCCACATCATAGAGCCTGGTGGGCATGCTAGCAAATTATACTGGGTTCCCTTAGACTCCAATGATTGCCTCTGAAAGCAGTCCCTACATACATGACTTTCTGCTTGCTGGTTTGGGTAACTCCTGTTGACCTGGCGGAGATTCAGGAGCCAAGCAACTGAATGTCCACCAAAGCAACCAGTTGGGCTCCCAGCAAATGGCAATCAAGGATTCAGTGAATCACTTTTTGGGGGAGGAGGGGTAATACCACGGATTGATCTCAATGGCACTCAACCAACTGAGCCACATCCCCAGCTTATTTTGTACTTTATTTAGAAACAGGGTCTCACTGAGTTGCTTAGCGCCTCACAGCTACTGAGGATGGCTTTGAATTAGCGAACCTCCTGTCTCAGCCTCCTGAGCTGCTGGGATTACAGGCATGCGCCACTGCACCCAACTAGTGAATCACTTTCTTTTCTTTTATTTTTTTAAAAATATTTTTAGTTATACATGGACACAATATCTTTATTTTGTTTATTTATTTTTATGTGGTGCTGAGGATTGAACCCAGTGCCCGCATGTGCCAGGCAAGCGCTCTGCCTCTGAGCCACAACCCCAGCCCTAGAGAATCACTTTTTAATTCCAAGTTTCTATTTATTTCTTTTCTTTACTCTCTTAAAATTCTGCTCTCTCCTCATTAATAACAAAGGCATTTTATTATTTTTTCAATACTGGTTAATATAAATTAATTAAGTAATATCAAATAAATGAAATTTCTGCATCAACATAGGTATTCATATTTTTCTTTTAATCTGTGAAATGGCTAAATTTTATTAAGAAATATTCTAAGGAAGGTTGAATAAAACTTGCCTTCCTGGTGTAAACCAAATCTGCCTATTATGTTATCTTTTATATAAATTATTGAATTTGTTTTGATAATACATTTTTGGGGATATTTCCATCTATATTCATGGACAACTTTCAGCTGTGATTTTTCCTTCTGTAAATGTTCTTGTCTAGTTTTAGTATTGAGATTATAGAATACTCACAAATTAACTGCAGAATGGTCTCCCTTTTTTTTCTACTTTTTTATTTTCTGAAAGAATTTATGGAAGATTAAGACATTGTTTATTTTGGTGTTTGGTATAACTTGCAGATAAAAACCCCTAGGCCTAGGGAGATATTTAATTACTAATTCAAGACTGAAGGCACTAAGATAGGAGTAACAAAGGTATTTTCAAGATTTGCAGGAATATCACAAACAACAGATGTTTTGCTGGTAATTACCTGTCAATAATTGTTTTAATTTTAAATGGATTAAATTATTCAATTAAAAGATTAAAGTGTAAAGTGGATAGAAGGATGGAAAATAAAAGCAAGGGCCGACCATATTCTGCTTGAAAGA